GGGGGGGGGGGGGTCGATTTCAGTCTAGTTATTGGAGGACGCAGAGATCAGGATAATTCAGGCGAATTATAATTTCAATTCGCGTTATAATTCATGTCAATTTTCAAATACTTGAGAATTTTGCGTTATTTTGGGAATGAATTTTCATGTGTTTATTGAAAATTCAAGTGACTTGGGGGTCTTTGTGTATTTGCTGCTCAAGATTTGGAATTCCATTCAATTTTCAGGGAAATTTGAAGTTTCATGATTTTTTTTCGAACGTACGACAAATTTAATAGGTGAACTTGGTGTTTTCTTGAAAACATTGTTTTGAATTTCTAGTGGAATTCTATAACAATTCTATGGATGTTCTGTTCGAATTCTATTGGAAATTATATTAGAGTTTATTATAAATTATATTAGAATTTTATTAGAAATGAACGGGCACTATTGAAAATTTTTTTTATGGAATTTTGGGAAAATTTTTACTAGGTGACAGTTTCAGTGAAATTTTAATCAATTTCGGGACTGAAAATTCTCAAGTTTTTATTCAAAGTTTCAAGTAAGTTGAGGGAATTTCAGTCTCTCTACTGCTGAAAAATATAAACTTTCATTGAATTTTTAGTGAATTATTTTTTTTTGTCTTTGCGATTTTTACGAAATACCTCCAACTATTTCAAAATAGTATAAATTAACAATATATACGGAATATTCCTGTTTCGTTTGAAAATTCTAGTAATTTGGAGGAATTCTCGTCTCCCTACTGCTAAAAAATGTAGAATTCCATTGAATTTTCAGTGAATTATTTTTTTTTGTCTTTGCAATTTTTAAAAAATAACTCCAACTAGATCAAAATGGTATAAATTAACAGTATATGCGGAATATTCCTGTTTCGTTTGAAAATTCTAGTAATTTGGAGGAATTCTCGTCTCCCTACTGCTAAAAAATGTAGAATTCCGTTGAATTTTCAGTGAATTATTTTTTTTGTCTTTGCAATTTTTAAAAAATACCTCCAACTATTTCAAAATGGTATAAATTAACAATATATGTGGAATATTCATGTTTCGTTTGAAAATTCTAGTAATTTGGAGGAATTCTCGTCTCCCTACTGCTAAAAAATGTAGAATTCCGTTGAATTTTCAGTGAATTATTTTTTTTGTCTTTGCAATTTTTAAAAAATACCTCCAACTATTTCAAAATGGTATAAATTAACAATATATGTGGAATATTCATGTTTCGTTTGAAAATTCTAGTAATTTGGAGGAATTCTCGTCTCCCTACTGCTAAAAAATATAGAATTCCATTAAATTTTAAGTGAATTATTTTTTTTGTCTTTGCGATTTTTAAGAAATAACTTCAACTATTTCAAAATGGTATAAATTAACAATATATACGGAATATTCCTGTTTCGTTTGAAAATTGTAGTAATTTGGAGGAATTCTCGTCTCCTTACTGCTAAAAAATGTAGAATTCCATTGAATTTTCAGTGAATTATTTTTTTTTGTCTTTGCAATTTTTAAAAAATAACTCCAACTAGATCAAAATGGTATAAATTAACAGTATATGCGGAATATTCCTGTTTCGTTTGAAAATTCTAGTAATTTGGAGGAATTCTCGTCTCCCTACTGCTAAAAAATGTAGAATTCCATTAAATTTTAAGTGAATTATTTTTTTTGTCTTTGCAATTTTTAAAAAATAACTCCAACTATTTCAAAATGGTATAAATTAACAGTATATGCGGAATATTCCTGTTTCGTTTGAAAATTCTAGTAATTTGGAGGAATTCTCGTCTCCCTACTGCTAAAAAATATAGAATTCCATTAAATTTTAAGTGAATTATTTTTTTTGTCTTTGCGATTTTTAAGAAATAACTTCAACTATTTCAAAATGGTATAAATTAACAATATATACGGAATATTCCTGTTTCGTTTGAAAATTGTAGTAATTTGGAGGAATTCTCGTCTCCTTACTGCTAAAAAATGTAGAATTCCATTGAATTTTCAGTGAATTATTTTTTTTTGTCTTTGCAATTTTTAAAAAATAACTCCAACTAGATCAAAATGGTATAAATTAACAGTATATGCGGAATATTCCTGTTTCGTTTGAAAATTCTAGTAATTTGGAGGAATTCTCGTCTCCCTACTGCTAAAAAATATAGAATTCCATTAAATTTTAAGTGAATTATTTTTTTTGTCTTTGCGATTTTTAAGAAATAACTTCAACTATTTCAAAATGGTATAAATTAACAATATATACGGAATATTCCTGTTTCGTTTGAAAATTGTAGTAATTTGGAGGAATTCTCGTCTCCTTACTGCTAAAAAATGTAGAATTCCATTGAATTTTCAGTGAATTATTTTTTTTTGTCTTTGCAATTTTTAAAAAATAACTCCAACTAGATCAAAATGGTATAAATTAACAGTATATGCGGAATATTCCTGTTTCGTTTGAAAATTCTAGTAATTTGGAGGAATTCTCGTCTCCCTACTGCTAAAAAATGTAGAATTCCATTGAATTTTGAGTGAAATTTATTTTTATGTATTTGCGATTTTGAAAAAACATCATTTACCATTCCAGAACGGTATAAATTTTGATGCTGTCAATGCTGACGGTGATAACGCACTCCACGTAGCGGTACGAGAGGGTCACGTCTCAGTAGTCAGAACATTGTTGACAGAGTGTACCCTAGACGCCGAGACTGTCAATCTCAAGGGAAGAAATCCCCTCCACGAATTGGCAAGATGTGGGCGTGATAATGCGGCGACGATCTGTGATCTTTTCCTCGAGTGCATGGCGCAATATCCAATAAACAATGCAGGTAATCGTTGTGGCTCTCAAAGTAAATGTGTAATGATTGAAATTTGAATGAATGAAAATTGTGAAATGCAGATGCAGATGGGAATACGCCTTTGCTGATAGCCTACATGAAGGGCAATGGGAATTTATGTCGGACGTTGGTGAAGGCTGGCGCTTGCCTCGGCTCCATGAACAAAGACGGAATTACGATATTCAATTATCAAGTCGCAACGAAGCAATTGCTCTATAGATTATTGGACTCGCTGACTCAAGAAGCACCTTGGGCTGACAAAGACATTTGTCTTGAATGTGGAACTAAATTTTCGCTTACTATGAGGAAACATCATTGGTAATATTTTTATATTTTTTTATATTAACGAAAAAAATTTATAGAAAATTGTAATGCATTAGGGTGGAAATTCTATTGGAATTCTATTATATTTTATTTTATTCTATTTAATTTAAATTTTTCCTCTCAATTTTGTCCATTATATATTCTCTTGAGATTTTTATCATTTTTCACTTAAAACCAGTCATTTTTGATTGGATTAAAATTCACACATCTGACATTCAATTGCAGCTGCTATTCATTTTTTTTTAACTCTGACAGCACAGGGAATACTGAGTATTGATCGATGAATTACATGATTAAATGAATTCACAGAATTGCCAAATAATATCAAGTTATTTCTAAAAATCCAAAACCTGGGGTTTTCACCGAAATCTAATTAAAATTTTTCCCCTCAATTTTTTCCATTATATTCTCTTGAGTTTTTTATCATTTTTCAATTAAAACCAGTCAATTTTGATTGGATTAAAATTCACAACATCTGACATTCAATTGCAGCTGCTATTCATTTTTTTTTAACTCTGACAGCACAGGGAATACTGAGTATTGATCGATGCATTTCATGATTAAATGAATTCCCAGAATTCCCAAATAATATCAGGTTATTTCTAAAAACCCAAAACCTGGGGTTTTCACCGAAATCTAATTAAAATTTTTCCCCTCAATTTTTTCCATTATATTCTCTTGAGTTTTTTATCATTTTTCAATTAAAACCAGTCATTTTTGATTGGATTAAAATTCACAACATCTGACATTCAATTGCAGCTGCTATTCATTTTTGTTTAACTCTGACAGCACAGGGAATCCTGAGTATTGATCGATGAATTTCATGATTAAATGAATTCCCAGAATTCCCAAATAATATCAAGTTATTTCTAAAAACCCAAAACCTGGGGTTTTCACCGAAATCTAATTAAAAATTTTCCCCTCAATTTTTCCATTATATATTCGCTTGAGATTTTTATCATTTTTCAATTAAAACCAGTCAACTTTGATTGGATTAAAATTCACAACATCTGACATTCAATTGCAGCTGCTATTCATTTTTTTTTTAACTCTGACAGCACAGGGAATACTGAGTATTGATCGATACATTTCATGATTAAATGAATTCACAGAATTGCCAAATAACATCAAGTTATTTCTAAAAACCCAAAACCTGGGGTTTTCACCGAAATCTAATTAAAAATTTTCCCCTCAATTTTTCCATTATATATTCGCTTGAGATTTTTATCATTTTTCAATTAAAACCAGTCAACTTTGATTGGATTAAAATTCACAACATCTGACATTCAATTGCAGCTGCTATTCATTTTTTTTTAACTCTGACAGCACAGGGAATACTGAGTATTGATCGATGCATTTCATGATTAAATGAATTCACAGAATTGCCAAATAATATCAAGTTATTTCTAAAAACCCAAAACCTGGGGTTTTCGCCGAAATCTAATTAAAAATTTTCTCCTCAATTTTTTCCATTATATATTCGCTTGAGATTTTTATCATTTTTCAATTAAAACCAGTCAATTTTGATTGGATTAAAATTCACAACATCTGATATTCAATTGCAGCTGCCATTTAATTTATAAAACAACTTTTACAGTACAGGGAATACTGTGGGCATTGATCGAAGAGTTCCATCATTAAATGAATTCACAGAATTCCCAAAACATGTTAAATTATTTGCAAAAATTCAAAACTGGGGCTTTCACTGAAATCTAATCAAAATTCCTCCACTCAAAGTCAAAAACCTCCATTTGTCGATCTTCGCCATTCCACGTGAGCCCAATGTATCATTCTTTTTCAGTCGCCACTGCGGGAGAATACTGTGCAGCAAATGCTCAGGTCAAGATGTGCCAATACTAAAGTTCGGACTTAACAAACCGGTACGAGTATGTTCTGTTTGCTTTGAAGTCCTGCAAGTTGGACCGGAATGAACGCAGAGAATCAAAATATGTTCCTCCTAAATCTATATCTTCACTGTGCAGTGACTAACTCTACTCTCTATTGGAACAAAAAATATATGTATAAGAAAAGAGGATTAAAAAAAAGTTCGTGTCTTTAATGAATGATTCCCAATAACAGTTGATTTCTTTTTTCCTCTATTACTAGATTCAAATTTTTATGTACATGACAAGTATAACTATGGTAAGTATAATTCAGGGATCGGAAGGACCGATATTTTTTTTCTCCATTCTGGTGAATTCTCCCATTTACTTGAGCTTGCTGAAGAGGGTTTTTGAAGCACAGTGATCTACGCAGCTAACATAATCTATGATCTCTTCGAGGCAGGTTTCCTCAGTTTCCTTTCTGGAATTGACTCGATCGTTACACGTGCTCAGTCTCTCCTGGAACTTGACGCAATTTGGCTTCTGTGAGCATTGCTCCTGAAAATTACAAAGCAAAATCATTCTTTTTTATTTACATGCACGAAAAAATTTAATAGAACCTAACGAATTTGTTAGAAAATCCTGTTGGATTTCTATTGAATTTTTGCATTGAAATGTTCAATAGAAAATATTCAATAGAAAAAGTTTTTTTTCTTTGCGCAGATTCAACCATTTTCAATCATCAAATCATCAGAACATCAATTTGTCAATTAAATTGCGTGAAAACAATTTGAAAAATAATCATGAATATTCAGCGCAATTGAAGTTACATTTTACACAGAATTATTTTTTTAGACATTCGCTGTTCATAAATTGTTTATAAAGTTTCAAAAATTGCAATTTTTTAATTATTAATTATCTTCCTCCAAAATAAACTTTCTATTTTTTTTCAGACTTTTAAAATCTTTTCTAATGGTTTAATATTGAGCTTCAAATTCAGACCTGCAAAGTTTGAATAATAAAATCTTTCCAAAATGTCCGGAAACAGGGTCAAATGAGGGTTAAATGAAAGCTCTGATGATCGACTACAAAACTAAAAAAGCATTTCACTGGAGAAAAAATAGCCAAATCTGTTGATCAATTTTGATCGAAAGTTCACCGAAGGTATTTCAACAAAAACGTGGAGCATCGACGTCTCATCACTATTTGCCAATAATACCACTAATTATGAAGTATTCAGTCGATATTCGCGACCGAATATTTTACACTAAAATTAATTCACTAAAAATTGTTACACTAAAATTAATTCAAAATTCCAGGAAGTTTTTTTTTCATGTTATTTTTTGGGAAAAGCTTCACATGAGAAATTCCCTAATTTCCAGGATTTGAAGGGGAGAAAGTTTTCAAATTCAGAGGATTTTACTGTCAACTATTAACTTTTTCCTACCAAAACTCCCTGTCAAAAAATGCTATTTATCATAAAATCTCAAACGGCATTCGAACAAAAACCGAATAAAGTTCCAAAAAAACTTCAGTCGAATATAAATAGAACTTTGCAGAATTTCGTGGTAAAAAACGTAGGTTTTTCCATTGAATTTCCCAATGTGTATATAAACTGAGCTTTTGTTTGACAGGCCTATAGAGATCCAAATGAAATGGAAGTGTCCAGGATTCAAAGATTGCCAGATATAGAGCTGTGAATAAATTAAACAATTTCCACAATTTTTCTACAAAATTGTTCCCACAATTCAACAATTCTTGAAGAATTGTACGATACATGTCACTTATAATTTCACAATTATATAGGGCGAATTCCAGGTTATTGAATTATGTAATTATTTTCAGAGGTTGTAGTACTCACACGAAGAACCTTAAGAGGATCAACCAACTCCTCATCGCCTGCCTTGACAATGGGCACAAAACGTGAAATGAAGCTCTGGATGAGTGACATTTCTGTTTCTGAAATCAATTGTCAATTTACTCGTGATTACAAATGCGAAGCGACAAATTTCGTACCAGAAGTAATCGGCACCTTGTGTGCGCTCAACTATTGACGAGCAGGCGGTGATAACAATATGGCTGATCGTCTGTGAATGTAGAATGAATGGAGAGGGTGAACTCACGTGTGCGAGAAGTCTATTCTATTGAATTATTCCTGAATTATTCCTGAAGAATTCTATTGAAAATTCCTGCAACTTGTTCGAACGTTGTTCACATAAATTCGAACATTTCTCATAGAAATGTTTATAAAAAAATATTAAATCTAAAAAATCAATATAATTTGATCATTCTATAAAAAATATTTTGTTGACATTCTTTCTATATTAAATTCTATAGGAATAATTTTAACAGAATAAGTTGTATAGAAAGATCACATTCTATTTAAATTCCGCCATTTGCAGTAAAAATGTCGAAAAGTAGTAAAAAATGAAGAAATTGATGTCGAAAAATTCTTATAGAACACATTTCAATAGATTAAATTTCACAGAAAGATCAAAATCGTTCGATTTTTTCTATAGAATATTTTCTATAGAATTTACTCTGCTCAAAATTTCCAATTTTTTTGTTTGATTTTCTTGATGAGAAGAAACGATAAATAGAATGAAAAAAATTCATACAATTTGAGCCGAGGAAACTCTACAGAAAATATCTAAATAGAATAAGTTGTATAGAAAAATCTAATTCAATTGACTATATTCTCAATAGAATATTTTCATTGACCATTTCAATACAATCGGCCAAAAACTAATAAAAAATTCAATAGAAATCCAACAGAATTCTCTAGCGAATTCGCTAGGTTTTCCATTAAGGATGTTGAACCTATCAAGTGCACAACTCAATTAAAAATAAAAATAAAATTGACTAAATAAATCATTCATGTTACAAATTATTTTTCTCATCAGATTAGAAGTGTTATGGCGTACTTTTCCGGTCTCAAAAACAATAATTAAAGAAAATGTTCATAAATAATGGAGCACTTGTGACTGCAGTGGTAACAGTCGAATTTTGATCGGGCAACGTCGCACGCTTCGGCTAGTAGTGGGGTTGTAACAGTGAGATGAATGTTTGTGTGTGTTATACGTGTCCATATGCTTCCAGCACTGAATTATCGTCACCGACTTTACCGACCTCGATCAGCTGTTGTGCGGTGTTGTCGCGTTGCTCGACTCGTAATGGCGGTCAAATTTTTTTTAGAGCAATTCGAAAATCAATCGAAGATATCACGCCTATATGGCCCGGTCCCCTACTTGTTCTCGCCGGCGATAGATTCTCCATAGTCTAAAGTAAATGGCTTGTGGTTTTTTTTCAATATCTTGAGTGTCTAACCCATGCAACATCTCGATCAAAGTTCACACGGTCACGTTTCTTCCCTAAGCGTAACGTTACAAGAAGTCATTTTCAGAAATTAATTTCCCACTGCGATGCCCCGATGGAAGGATCAAGATTATTACTAACGTGTGGCTCAAATATGAACCTGGCATATGAGACAGTATCAAAATTACGGCGAACCATGTGAGTTTTGGCTGAACATCCTTAAACTTTTTCGTGCCGCTCGGATGGTAAAACGGTGAAAACTCAGCTGTAGAAATGTCCGGCGACGCCATTTGCGCTCTGTCGTGAATGTAAATATTGTCTGTTCCACACTTGCGAAAATACTCATTATTTCCATGAAATAAAACAAGTCCCATGCATACCGAGTGTTATCCCGTTCGTCAGTGAACATATGTGACCAAGTGTCACGAGAGACGTGAATTCCCACGTCCCACAGTCGACATGTCAAAGTAAAACTTCAACCGCTGTCAGACTTTACTTGTAGACCATGCTCAATGAATGTGTCACGGTGCGTGCTGATTTAGAACTCGTGAATCAGGAATAAAAACGAGAAAAACAGCAGTAAGTTGAGACTCATGCGGCAATATGGTGATTTGTGCTGAACAGTGTCTGATAATTTTCCCCTAAAAATCTCGTGCAATCCACCAATTTCATCGAAATTCAATGCCACCAGTTGAGATTTTTTCCAGGTAAACGTTGAATATTGCAACACCTGTAGTTTTTTCAACTGACTGTACAGTTTTACAAGCTTTAAACATGGCGATTCCGTAGGCGACATTTGTCTCCCCTGACAGCTCGTGGTGGTGATGAAATCACCTCGTAAATTTTAACACAAATATTGAGACGAAAAAATCGTGGGGATAATGAGGAGCAGGTGCTACCCACACATATCTGTCGAACATGAGTTCCACTGACAATCAACGCTGGAATATTTTCATTTGGAACATGATTCCAACCACGAATTGATCCGAACAGACTGATTGATACGAGGTAATGATTATTTTTGTGCTGTTGTCATAAGGATTAATGAAAAATCGTTAACGCATGGGCAGTGGAACCAAGATAAAACTAATAACAACAGTGATTCGTTCAATTGAGGGAGACAAATTTGGTGAAAAAGGTCTCTAGTTTCTTATTTTTCTGTAGAAATTCTTGGGCATAAATTTTTCAAAGTTTTTTAGCTGTTTTTTATTTTTTCTCATAGTAAAATCCAAGAAAAAATGACGAAATTCATTTTGATAATTCTTACCTAAAAGTTCTGTTAGAAATAATGTCAGCAGAATGAGTTATGTAGAAAAATCAACATTTATAGACTTCTTTCTGTAAAAAATATCTATTTGAAAAATGCACGGGAAAGATATTCAATTCTTAAATAGAACTCTATCAAGACTCCAAAAGATTCTAGTGGAGTTCTGATGGGAATTAGGTAGTATTCCGCAGAGAAAGCGAGATGTGGTCACATTGTTCCCATCCGTGTCAATAAGAAGTGAAAGACACGCATGAACAAATTTAATAGAAAAACCTACGGAATTCGGTAGACAATTCTATTAAATTTCTATTGAATTTTTTATTAATTTGGCTGATTATTGAAATGTTCAATAGAAAATACTTTACAGAAAAAATCAATGGAATTCGATTTTTCTGTACAATTTATGTTATAACCAACAGAAAGTTTAATAGAAATCCAATAGAATTGTTTACCGAATTCCCCAGGTTTTTCTATTTCTATTTGTTCAAGCGTCAAGGCCTAGACTTTTCTGTCAGATTGTTCCATACGTGTTAAGGAGAGAAGAAAGAAGAATGCAGTGAAAATAAGCTCAAGAAGAAAATTAATTTTCAGAGCCAGGAAGATCAGAGGAGACAAATCAAACACAAACGACTGAACTGTGTCATTATTGACTAATACAATAGTTCACCATGAGCATTGTGGAAATTTGTTGATAATGCGTGATGAGGTGGAGTGTCCGTCAGGGAAAAACATGAGTTTAGATGCAATTTTTCAAACAACTTGTGCCCCTTCGTAACGGAGTTATTAACAATGGCCAATGACACGTTGAATGCAGCATATCCACTCCACAAGTGTATTTTCCAAGGCGACATCAAGACGCTGAGTTTCCTACTGAGGACCCATGATATTGCCGAGAAAGACAAACATGGTAAGATTAAAAAGAGAACTTATTAGAAAAAAAATTGAGAACCCTTTTAAATTATTCTTTTTTAATTTCTACTGAACATCTATTCCAAATTTTTTTTCAATTTTTGAAACCTCCAAAAGTCTCAGCTTGAAGTTTTGAAGAATTTAAGGCCCGGGTGTACTATCTTTCGAACGTTATCTTGATGTTTTTTTCATCTTTCGTCATCTGAAATTGTCAACTAAGTCCTGCGTCATGCAGAAGTTTTGAAAAATTATGATTGAATAATTTTAAAAAAGTAGAAAAAATTCTTGATTTTTTCAAAGAGCATTTTTTATTTATTGAGATACCTAGCTGTCACTTCCCACGGGGAGTTAGTGTTTTGTTATTCACCATGGAAAATAGCTAATAGAAAATTTGCCACAGCCAGTCAGATATTTCTAATTTCCACTTCTTTCAACTCATTCTGAATCTCAATTAAAAACGCTCTTTGAAAAAGTTCAGAATTTTTTCTATTTTTTTATCATTCTATCATAATTTTTGGGAATTCCTACACCATGTACCACTCAATGGACAATTTCGGATTACGAAAGATAAAAAAAAATCCAGAAAACATTCGAAAGATAGTAAACCCAGGCCTTAATTCAAACTCTTAAAAATCATATTTGAGTCCTACGAAATCCTCAAATAAACAATTATTTTTGGAGTATACGCATGCCATTTGTCGTGCACGAATACCGCTGAAAAACGAAAGAAAAGAATGAGCACGCGTCACCTTCACCTCAAAATTAATTCCAGGTAACACACCCCTCCACTTAGCAGTGATGCTGGGCAGGAAAGAGTGCGTCCAGCTCTTGCTTGCCCACGGTGCCCCAGTAAAAGTAAAAAATTTGTCGGGCTGGAGTCCCCTCGCCGAGGCGATAAGCTACGGCGACAGGCAGACAATATCATCCCTCGTGCGAAAATTGAAGCAACAAGCACGCGAGCAGATGGAGAAAAGGCGTCCAAATTTGGTGGAAGCACTCCGTAAAATGGGTGACTTCTACATGGAACTAAAATGGGATTTTCAAAGCTGGGTGCCCCTCGTATCGCGAATATTGCCCTCCGATATATGTAGAATACACAAATGTGGCTCATCAATACGTATGGACACGACTCTAGTTGATTTCAATGACATGCGATGGGAGCGCGGTGACATATCATTCATATTCAATGGCGATCAGAAGCCAGGAAAATCACTAACTGTACTGGATAACAAGGCCAAGATATATCAGCGAGTCAAGTACGAGGAGACTGAGCTCGAAATTGAGGATGAAGTTGATATACTCATGTCGAGTGATATTATGGCAGCACAAATGTCGACAAAGGGGATAACATTCTCCAGAGCTCAAACTGGCTGGATATTCAGGGAGGACAAGAGGGAAATGATTGGCCAATTCAATGCTGATTTTTATCAGATAAATGGCATTGTATTTGAGAGCAGAAAGAGACGTGAGCACTTGAGTGAAGAAGATTTGCAGAAGAATAAAGCTATTATGGAGTCACTCACGAAGGGCAGCTCGCAGGGCTTTGCCAATGGTGAACCACTGACCAGACGAGCATCCCTGAACCCACCGCCTGACTCGAAAATCACTTGGGAGGCTTATCTCGAGGCACCCCCAGGTGAATGTCCCCTCCTAGGTCGTAATCTCGTGTATAAAGAGAGCAGCAAGTCCTTCAAAGCCACCGCTGCTATGAGCTCTGATTTTCCACTCACTGTCGATATGTTACTGAATGTGCTGGAAGTTATCGCACCCTTCAAACACTTCAGCAAACTTCGTCAATTTGTATTGATGAAATTACCACCTGGATTTCCTGTTAAAATTGATATACCAATTCTGCCTACAGTTACCGCTAAGATAACATTTCAAGAGTTCACATTCAAACACGATATTGATCCTGAATTGTTTCAAGTTCCGTCAGACTATTTTGAAGATCCTATGAGGTGAGCCATGATTTTTATATTTTTTTTTATCTAGTCATTCGTGGGAGAAAGATGCGAGTGATGTGCGAAAGGGATACATTAAGTACCAGAGAGTTGGTTTTTTTAATGGAAATATTTTTGTTTGAAGCGAATAAATGGGTTTATTTAAACTTGAAGGTGATTTTTATTTGCGTTTTTGTGCGGATCAAGTGAACATTTTTAAGCGTAAAAAATGTTCTCTTGATCCGAAGACAGAATTCATTAGGAATTATATCGTTATAAATATGGAATAATATTTTATTTGGATTCATTGGATTCGAATGGAGGATTCATGTGGGATGAATGAATTATTCGTGCAATATAATTGAAATATTTTCATTGAGATGAATAGAAAAATTTCAAATAGATGATTTTTTTAATCAAGGGATTAATCTGCGATTTTTTTAATGAAATGATTTTTAATTGTATTTTTAGTCAGATCAAATGAATAGTGTTTTGAGCATAAAACATGTTTCATTGCTTCAAGGAAAGAATTCAGTAGAAATTATATTATTATCAACATGCAGTAATCCTTTATTTATAGTGAATGAGTTATTTATGAAATTTAATTAAGACAGTTTCATTGAAATGAAAGAAAAATTTCAAATGGAGGATTTTTTTATTCAAAATAAATAAGTGTCTCCAAGCCCCCCGAGCTGCCCTCACGATATATCAGATCCATTTTGGGACGCCCTACAAATAAACAAACGCCCAATTACAAATAAATTATTATTGAAGTATCTTGACTTCGTCCACATGCGACTTAATTGACAAAAATGAATTTCAGTTACTATGGAGCATATTTGGCAATGATGATGGTCCTGCATACTGCCTCATCTGTCTGAACAGGAGACATTAATCGGGAACGTAGCAGTGAAGAATAATTACTCGTGTACACTAGTAGTTCGTTATTAATCGAGATAATTTGCTAGGTTGAAATTCACGTTAACATCTGACATGAATAATGCCACTACCATCATCATTGCATAACTAACTGAATTAATTATTGCTTCAGTGAAATTTTAATGCATATGCCAGAACATTTGGGAAAATTCGATAGAAAACCTGGAGCACGTGCTGGAAAATTCTATTGAAATTTCAACAGAATTTCAATAGACTCGATTGAATGTCTGTCGAATTATTTCATACGTGAAAAAGTGTAAACGGGGAGAAGAGAACATGTTCTTTAAAAAGTACTGTGTGAATTGAAATAATGACGCATGAAGAATTTAGTATAAAAACCCAACATTTTCTTCCACAAAAAAATCGGTAGAATTGATGTCAAAATTTCAGAAGAATTCTATTGGAGTTGATAAAGTTTTAAAAATGTTTCGTCCAAGAATTTCTGTAGAAAAATTTATTGACTTCTATGGATTTCTATAGGAAAAATCTATTGACTTATTTCTACAAAATAGTTTTTATATTTTGCGACAGAATTAGCTAAAAAAAACAATATGATTATTCCAGGAAATTTTCACAGAACTTCCAAAAAATTCTACTGAATTTCTATTGAAACTCCATAAGAATTCTATTGGAGTTCTATTCGAATTTGATGGAAAATTTCTTTTTGGCTTTTGTGCCAGTTCTATCTAAAATTATGCAACTTTCCCGTGCCATTTTAATTTTTCATTTTCGGGGTGAATTTTCCAAGTTTCTTTTTTCATTTAATAATGAGAACTTCAAGAATTTCTTTGAGTTTGCGCAAGAAACCAATAGAATTAATTAATCGAATTCTAATAAAACTTAATCTTATTTCGAGACTTCCAATTCTTGATAATTCTCATCTTGCAATTATTTTTATTCACGGAAAATTTATTTGAAAACATGTTTTTCTTCTCACAGTGGAAATTATCCTCATTATCAATTAACAGCTTATGTTATTCAATATTTCCAGATTTCCAGACTTATGACGCTTTGATACTCTACCACTAATCGAAGTCAATTATCGGACTGGCTCAGGATCATTCACTGTATTAGGGGACCGTTTGGCATTAGATTATCCACTGAGTGTGAGCCCTGGTAGTATACATCGATATATCCCAGTCACTGCGTGCTCTTATCGAGATATAAATGACAAGTGTTTGGCGTGCACCGTCTACTTCCTTTAATTCATAATACAATAATGACATTCTTTGTTACATTTATAACAATCATTGATCCAAAAATATTAGAGTGAATATTCCTTTACGTTGCAGCATCGATAATTTAACTAAAACTCTTCGTTCGCACGGATGAAGAAATTTAGTTGAAAAACTTGGCGAATTCGTTAGAATATTCTATTGAATTGCTATTCAACTTTCTATTAGGTTTTGGTTGATTCTGTTGAAATGCTCAAAATTCAATATTTGATCGAAGTCAATGGAATTCGATTTTTCTATACAACTTATTCTATTGAAATATTTTCTGGTGAATTTTCTCGCCTCAAATTTTCAAAGTTTTTTTGTTTGATTTTTTTTATGAGAAGAAAAGAAAAAATTGAGCCGAGGAAATTCTATAGAAAATATGTCAATAGAAACATCGAATTCCATTGACTTTTTCTGTTGAACATTTCCATAAAATTGGCCAATAACTATTCAAAAGTTCAACAGAAATCCAATAAAATTTAAGAATTCAGGTTTTTCTATCAAATTTTGTTGACGAAAGTCGAAGTTACGAGTTGGCAGCGCAGAATTTTTCAGTTCATTCCGTCGTTTAATATAAAGTACTGGAGGGGTGATAACATGCGCAAACAGTGGAATTATCTCACTTACGAACTTTTTGAATACATTCTCTAAATTTCTGTTTTCTATGCAAGAAAAAATTCCTAGGGCACTAGGAAATTTTATTGGATTTTCGTAAGTTTGTCGCGGACTCCATCGAGAAATTCTGCAGCTTGTCTGCACGTTTTGTTTTAATCATTCAAGACTAATAGGATTTGATATTTCTGTACGACGGATTTTATTGAAATGTTTTCGATAGAAATTCTCTGATATTAATTTCTAATATTTTTTCTCCTCTCATTAACAATTTCTATAACAAATACCACATCTCAATAAAATAAGAGGGATAAAAAGATCAAATTCAAAAATTGTTTTCTACAAAAAACTTTCTATGAAACAAAAAATGCGCAGAAATTTTTCAATAAAATCGGCGAAAAACTAATTAAATTTTCAATAAAAATCCAATAGAATTTTTCAACGGAATGTTTTCGGATGACTAAAAAAATTAAATTAAATTGCTGCATTTCCAGATGCTTTTGGTGGAATATACATTCTCCCTTTTAACAAAAAAAACTAGTGTCTACTCATTCATTCGCTGACATTCTTCCCCCAATTTGCGAAAAATATCAATAGTCTGTCGACGACGAAATTTTGTACTGAATTCCCTATTGCGAAGAAATAAGGAGAAAAGCGAGGATGAACAGATTGTTTAAGCACGGCATTATTCAAGAGCACTAAAATTTTCAAATGATTTAACAATTTAATATTGTTTACTTTTTTATTGACCAATGCAGGAAGAATATTTGCTTCACTAATCCACGCATGACAAAATTCAATAGAAAACGTAGTGAATTCGCTAGAAAATTCTATTGCAATTTTATGAGAATTCTATTGGAATTTTCCAATAAGAAAATCCAATAACCAGAATAATTATATTGGTTTTGGTTTTTGGTTTTTCTATTTATTTTTTGCGCTGATTCTATTGGCTATTTAATATGAAAAAGTCAATAGATTTTGAATTTCTGTTTGAATCCTTCTATTAGATTTTTTCTATTAGAACTATTGGGCACAAATTTTCCAAGTTTTCCCGTTGGATTTTGTTTTATTTTGCACTGCAGAAGCCGAGTGGAAAAAAATTAAAAACTTCATGCCCAAGCAATCTTATAGAAAAAAATATGAAAAGAAAAATTCAGACAGAAATAGGAAATCTATTGACTTTTTCTTATCGAATATTCAATCGAATCAGCGCAAAAAACAAATAGAATTTTTGAATAGAATTCCAACAGAA